TAGTTCGTGCGAATAAATTGTTCCAGGCGATACTAACCAGTATATTGCATATTTCATAAGAATCCTGAGCAGTAGAAACGTATCCCGACACTCACTTTCAGCCAAAAATGTTCGCAAATACCCGTACTGTATAACTCCCATTAGGGGTAAAACGCCCATGATGGGCGTTTTGTCCCACACCAAAGTGGGCGTATTACCCCAACAGCACATTCAAAACGAAGTCCACCAAAATTAAGCGTGTGACGATTGTGTTGCAAACCAGTAAATGCTCAAAACATAGCTTAAATCCGCAGGTTCTGCGTAGCTAAATTTCATTGCCTACTTTAATCTCTGTCAGACAAAGTTTTAGTAGTATGAAAACATGTAATATCTAAAAATTGTCTGAAATAAACTAATCTTTATCTTACGTCCAGAACAACCCACTTGTAGATCCGAAAAAGGGGGCAAAAGTAGATTCCTGCTCGTTCTTGAAAATGGCTATCGAGAATTCTTCGAAAAGTCGAGCACTTCATAAAAAAGAGGGGTGGGCGTTTGACCCGCCCTGGGCCCTTTGCCCCACTCTACCCTATAGGTATGTAGAGTTAGCACCTCAAGCTGTGCCGGAGTCAAGACTGACATCTCGACTGCAGGCAGGAGCAATATCCGGGGCGTCGCTCCCCCCCCTCCCCCCCCGGTGGGGGCGCGTCAGCTGTTGGGATCAATACGGTGGCGCGCCGCCCGTCTGAGGTGGCGACAACGACCCACAATGGCGGCCAACGGAGGCAGAGGGAGAGAGGACAGGGGAGAGGGAAGGAGAGGGTGGGTGACTTGGGCGACAGACAATAAAGACAAGGTGTTTTTTTTGCACTATATGAAACCCTTTAGCCTATTGGTAGTGGTACATACCTAATTGTATAAATCTATTCTAGTTATTTTTAGTCCATATTTTACTCAGCAAAAAAAAGACATTTTGAATCACAAACAAAATAAAATTGTCAATCTTAATTATTTAACGTACTTTTTTTTGCTAATGGGCAGTTTTTGTGCATACTCTCCAAATGTAGTCAAAGGCAATACATAAAGTTACGCACAACTTTAGTCGATGTTAACATGCGAAACCTTAGAAAGTTGCAATAGGTATGATGTTTAGGATGAACTGCAGGCAGGCGGTTACATAGGCGCGGGAGCCGGGGGGGGGGGGCAGTGGGGGCAGCTTGCCCCCCCCCCCCCCAACTCTGGGGCCGTGGGGGCGGTGCCCCCACAGCTTTGAGACGGAATACCACACTTTTTTTTGCAAATGTTTTCTTTTTTTGTTGAAAAAGCCGAGGGGTGAAAAATAAGTGGCCTAAAACCGGTGAGAAAACTAGATTTGGGGGTACCCTAGGTTAATCTCTATTATGGTTTGCCCCCCCAGTCGGAAAGTAGTTCCCGCGCCCCTGGGCGGTTATATGGTTTCGGTTAGTGGTTGCGAATCTTAAGACAAACTCAGCAACGCTGATTTTTTCTGGGAGAGGGGAGAGGAACTTTTAGGAAACAGTCAACATAAATTAGGTATGTATTTCGTCATATTGTTAACAACAAAAGGTCCTCTTGAGTAGCTTTGCCCCTATCAGACACGCTAAAACATAGACCCACCAGCCCTCTTGAGGCGCGAGAGGCGCCCCCCCCCCCCACCGGGACCGGCTGTGGGCCGACTGTGACGTTACCGCCGGCCAGCCGGCCGATTACCCGTCATTACGGTCCAATTTCCCGCCCAACAGCAGCCAATCAGCGCCTTATGGCGGCTCTGAGCCGCCCGGGGAGCGTCTCACGGTGCTGAGAGCAGCTCATACGGCAGCGCCACTGCTCACACGAGTTCAGTGGAGAAGGGCGGCCGCAGTGGCTGCGCCCTCCCCGCTGCAGGGGCTATGGCTGCTCCCACAACAGCTTCTTTGTATCTTACCGACAAGGAATCCACCCGAAAAATACATGCATGCAGGAATAACTTCATGGTTTAACTAGGCATAATGCAAGCAGCCAAATGTGCTGATAAATTAAAAATGCTGTTGGAATTAACTCATAAGTCGACAGATAAACAGGCATGCCACATTAAATGCCAAGGTGTCCTTTTAACTACAGAAATATCGTTCTCCTATTTGGTACATACCATTTAATTCCTCATCCCTCCCAAAACCTTTTTTTTCTACAAACTTCCAGTACAAACATCCCTCAGCAGTGGATGTTTTTACTGGAAGCGTGCAGCGATATCACGGGGCTGAGCCATGTAGGTCGGTCGTTGTTTAGCCGGCCTGAGACCGGTGTTTGTCCCCAGTCCCTTCCATCGCCCATATCCATACATACATCGATTTCCTGTCCCCCACCCCCAGCAGCGGGGGGGGGGGGCGGCTGAGTCGGCGGCAGAAGTCACGTGACCGGCGACGGCGGCTCCCATTGGTCGTCGGCCAGACAGGGCAGGATGGAGGTGGGCGGAGACCAGCCTACATCCATCTCGGCGCGATAGTGGCCACACAGTCCGGGTGGTACTAAAATGGCATTCAATGCAAGGAATTTTCGTGGCAACAGAGACGATTGGAAGTTGCGATTGAACATCAATATGACTGAATGTTATGTTCGTCTACACAGCAAAACTATACAGTAGCAAACACCACACGTTGGCTAAATGCCAAGCTTGGCCGTTAGTACCGCAGAGACTGGTGTGATGTGGCCACTATCGGTCCGGTCCGGACTGGGGTGTGGCAAAAAGTGGGGCAGGGCGGAGGGTAGGAGGCAGCCGGGGCGGCTCAGCGCGGCGGCGGCAGTCGCCTGCCGCACGCCGGGCGGGGAGGTGTGGTACGGTGGGGAGCCGGGCGGGGAGGTGCGGTACGGTGGGGAGCCGGGTGGGGAGGGTGCGGTACGGTGGGGAGCCGGGCGGGGAGGTGCGGTACGGTGGGGAGCCGGGCGGGAGGGGAGGGTACGGTTCGGTGGGGAATCGGGCTGGGAGGGTGCGGTACGGTGGGGAGCCCGGCGGGGAGGGTGCGGTACGGTGGGGAGCCGGGCGGGGAGGTGCGGTACGGTGGGGAGCCCGGCGGGGAGGTGTCGTACGGTGGGGAGTCGGGAGGGGAGGTGCCGTACGGTGGGGGGCCAGGCGAGGGGAGGGTGGCGTACGGTGGGGAGTCGGGCGGGGGGGGGGAGGGTACGGTTCGGTGGGGGGTCGTGTGGTGATGTGTCGAGTAGGGCGCCAAGTTCGAGCAGCTCGGGATAATAGTGAACTAGCGAAAAAGCTGTCAGTAATGTCATCGGACAACTGTGATGTGATCTTAAAACGTTGAACTGTATGTGTATGTGTGTGGGTGATCAATCTTTATTTCACACAAACGTCCACTGCTGCGTTACAATTTCGAGTGCCAACATTTCGATTCATGTTTTCATTTCTAGAAGAAAAAAAAACGAAATAAGTCGAAAATTATTTACTAAGCAGTGAAAAACTGGTCGGAAATTTTTCTGACAACCGTCGATACGGCAATGTAAATAACTGAATGTCAAACAATGCAGTCCAAAAGAACGACAATCAGGAATATTTGACTTTCTTGAGTCCACTAAAAACAATTGAAATTCAGATGAAAAACTAGTCGGTATTCAAATCACCAGATAATAGAAGATTCTGACATTGTTTGATATTGTTATATTTAACATAACGTGTGAAAAATTAACTCGAAACGAGTCAAAACCAATAATAACTCGGTAATTTAGATATGTTAGAATGTCCAAAACTGTTACAATGTCCCGGTCGGGATTTTTTTTTCTTCATAAAACGGGAACAAGCAATTGAAAATGATATATTTTTATTATCACATTGACAATTTTAAAAGGAATTCTCCGCCCTTTTGCCTTGTGAACAAAATCAGTACCTACCTATATACGCCGCGCGCAAGTGTAATTTGCTACCCCTTAAAATGAACATGAGGGAGTGAGAGCTTCTTTGAAAAAAATTACAGAGCTAAATAAACAAAGGTGAGCTATGTTGTCTCAATCAATTTCGTCAATAGAAATTAAAAGCATCACATTTCTGCAAAATATGACCGTTTGCTAAATTTGGTATGCTGTGACGTCAGGATTTTAACAGCCTCCAGACACAAAAACTAATTGCCAAAGTACACGGGTGTTGGCGCGTGGTCAATACACCCGGAGGCACGCTGCTGGCGCCCGCCCCGGTGACTCACAGGGCTCCAGGTGAACCGCTGTATGTCTGTGAATCATCGAGCACTGTATCGATTGAGGTGACCTGTTTTGAAAGTGTCGGAAGATAGCTGGGCCACCGGCGTATCCTTGATAGCATATCACCTGTCGATACTTTGGTGCAATGTGCTTTTAGACCCTGCAATTTTGTATCAATATACGACTCGTGCGTCGTTATATGTGCCTTGATAAATACAAATAAAGGAATATCAGTCCATGAGTACATAATCTTGAGTAAATAGCCGAAACAGCGAAATGTGAATCACTGCATTGTGTCATGTAATGGCTCGTGGTTGTTGCCTGGGAAAACGATTGAACGAATAAATGAGGGAAAACGACTGTTTTTGTTTTTAAAACAAGGGTCAAATAAAAGTTACCATTACAACCGTGTGTGTATGTGGGTCTGTGTGTATCTGACACCCGTCTGCGGTGACCCAGGCGGAGCATGGTCACCGCAGGTCAGCGGGGACGGGAGGGCAGTCGAGGTCAGCCGGGAGCAGCCTGGGGTCAGCTGAGCTGGCTGGGCGCGGATGAGCGGACAGCAGGAGGCAGTCGGGAGGGGGGGGGGGGCAGTCGGGGTCAGCCGGGAGCAGCCTGGGTCAGCTGAGCTGGCTCGGTGCGGAATCAGCGGACAGCAGGAGGCAGTCGGGGGAGGAGGGGGGGGAGGCGGCCGGGAGGGGGCCGAGAGCCGCCGGAAGAGTTCGCCCGCCGCGCCGCCGCCGCCGTCCGCCGGTCACGTGGCTCGCCGCCGCGCTCTGCCTGTGCTCGGGCCCTCTTTCCCTCTCGCGTCTTTCTCTCGGTCTCACCTCGCTCAGTACCCTGCCGAGGCTCCGCTAAAAGAAGCAGAAAGAAAAGAAAAAACGCCAGTTAGTGTATTAGCGGTGCAACTAGAAAAAGCGCGGCAGGCGGCGGGCAAAACCGACCTCACAGCTTTAGGATGTTGCAACAGTGCCATGAGTAGAAGCGCAGCGAGATATTCGTGACAGAAAACCCGCTGTTGGAGCCAAACAGCAGTTTTCAGCGCGCTCTCCAGCGTTCCCCTCAGGCACCGTTCCAAAGTCCCTGGCCGTTGGGCGGCGGGTTTTGTCCGTCACACTGCCTGCACTAGGGGGCGGCCTGGGGAGGTGGGCGTGGCCTAGCAAGCAACGAAAAACCAGACCTCGGCGCCGGGGGCGGGGTCAGCTGATATCGTAGGCGGGGGGGGGGGGGGGGGGGACACAGACCGCTGCTGCAGACTGGGGGCTGGTGGGGGGGGGGGGGTGCGTTAGGCCCGCCGCCCCTGTAAGCGCGGGGCTCCACCACCGGGAGGCTCGGTATGTGAGGCGGCACAGCCCGCCGGCCCGTCTCGAACAGCGACTAGCCGCCCGACTAACTACACTGTTCAGTGTTCATACTGAAAGCGTTAGGTTTACTGAGCTGATTGATTTATTGAACAAACTATGATATTTCGATTGATTTACTTGGAAACTTTTATTGATATTTATATATAAGCCTATTTATGGCTTTAGTAAAAAAGATATCAACTGTCTAGCATGGTCGTTTTATAATGGACCACAGCCATAGACAGTTAACATAAAATGTGCAATGTGCATGCGTTCAGAAGCTAAATAACATAAATTGGCAGTCATGCTGATTTCAGAGAGAAAACCTTTACGTGGCAAAGAAAAGAGATAAACTGCCGCTTTCAGCGGTTCCCAAACTTTGTCTTCGCTCAGCTAAAAGTGACTGAGGAATTTTGTTAGCCCAGACTTAGGTTTGGAAACCGCTGTCAGGGCATCGCTAGCGAAAAACAGATAAATTTGGTGCAGGCACAGCATTACGGACAGGGGCACGCTGGCAGTTTGGTGCCGTGTGCCGGGACGGAATGAGAACGAAGACAACTGAACTGAGGCGGCTCTGAGTCCACGTGAACGGGCCGCCGAGAGAGAGAAACGAACGCAACAGCAGCGGGGCGGGGGGCACATCGAAAGCCATCCAAACTGAGAACTCCTATCGGCAACCGAGAGCGCTAAACGGAGCATTCGTGTGGGGGCTGAGAAGAGGGAAAGAGAATGAGAGAGAGAGCGAGAGACAACATTCAGCTCGGCCTCTGTCTGTACCTGTCCCCCGCGAACTGTCCTCTGTGTCCATGTGAGCGGCGCGCCGCGGCGCGGAGGGCGGAGGCGAGGGGGCCGGCGGGCAGGAGAAGGTCACGGTGGTCTGCTGGGTGGTCGGGCCCCCGGCGGTCGTCTGTCCCCCGGTCCGCGTCACCGTCACACACTGCCGGCGCACCAGCACGCGGCGCACATGGCCGTGTCCGTCGTCCTCCACCTCCTCGGTCTCCTCCATTGGTCCGGGGTCGGCCCCGGCCAGCAGCGCCTCCAGCTGCTCGGCCGGCACCGGCTGCGCGCCCGCCTCCACCACCACGCGCCGGCGCAGCACGCGCTGCACGTGCACATTGCCGTGCTCGTCAGTGACCTGGCTCTCGACCAGGTCCTCGCCGGGCTGCATTTCCAGCGCGAACGCCTGGGCGGCGGCGGCGGCGCCGGGTCCGCTGAAGGTCGTCTGCCGGCCCTCTCCGGGCATCTGCACCGACCGGTAGCGGACGCGGTCAAAGCCCGGCTCGTCCGTGGACCACTCGCCCTCAGAGACGCGACCCGGCGTCTGGAAGGTGCGCGAGCTGACCGACGGGCCGGCGGCGGCTCCGTCCAGGTCCGCCTCCGGGCCTAGCGTCTCGTTGGAACCCATGATGGTGGCCGACATGGTGGAGGCCATGCTGGAGGACATCAGCGAGTCGGACTCGCACTGGTAGGTGGCGTTGGTCGCCTGCGAGCTCGACACCGAGTCGAACGAGCAGAGTAGCGCGTCGCGGGCGGCGGCCGAGCCGCTGGGCACGTCCCCGGGCAGCGCGGCCGCGGCGCCCGCCGGGTCCGACCACGGCCCGCCGGCTGCCGAGGACAGCTCTAGGGAGTCCGTCATCTGCTGCGGCGGCGCGTCCGGCTCGGCCTCGGCGGCGGGCCGGTTCTCCGGGCGGCCCTCCACCGAGTCGGTCATCCGGCGCTGCTCTTCAATCGAGTCGGTCATCCGGCGCTGCTCTTCAATCGAGTCAGTCATCTGCCGCTGCTCCTCGATCGAGTCAGTCATTTGGCGCGGCTCCTCGATCGAGTCAGTCATCACTCTGGCGGCCTCTATCGAGTCGGCTGAGATGGCGCCGGGGCGCGGGGCGCGCTCCAAGGAGTCAGCGCTGCCGGACGCTCCGGCGCCGGCCGCCTCGCTCAGGAGGCGCCGGCGGAGCGGCGAGTCGACCGGCTCGCCGGCGCGCTGCTGCGAGGCCGGCGAGTCGTCCTCGCGCTCTCCGGGCGGCGTGTCCACCACCAGGCTCGACTCGGTCATGTCGACAATGTCCTCCAGGCGCAGGCTGTCGGACATGAGCTCGTCCTCGGCGTGCAGACGCTCCACGTTGCTCTGCGCCTGCCGGATGATCTCGTCGATCTCAAACAGCTGGTCGTCGCGCTCGGCAGCCCGCTCGCTGGCGCGGGAGACGGTCTCGCAGCTGTCACTCTCCGACATCTGACTCTCGTGACCCTCCTCAATTTCGGACAGTAGGCGCTCAGCCTGCTCGGCGCGGGCTTCGATCTGCTGGGCCAGCTGACACTGACGCTCTAGACCTTCAAACTCCTGCAGCGAGTTGACGGAAACATCATCTCCCTGGGAGCTGCCGGCCCGGGGACTGCCGTTTCGGCGGGCGACTCCGTTGCCGTTGCCGCTGCCGCTGCCGCTGCCACTGTTGTTGTTGGTTGAAGACCCGAGCGAGTCCTGCGACCCGCGCTGGGCCATCAGCAGTTCAAGGCGCTCGAACTCTTGGAGCGAGCTCAGGGAAACGTCATCGCTCTCACCACTGCGAGACACGAGTCGTCCCCGCGCGACCATCTCCAGCTCGGGCGTGGAGCTCAGCGACTCCTTCAGCCGCTCCAGCTCTCGGTTACTTAGCACCTCTTCCCGCTCTTCCTCAATGATGTCCTCCAGATGTTTGGTAAACAGCTCTTCCGCCTGGTAGTCAGTGCCGGTAGCACCGCGCGCACTCTCAAACTGCTGCTCGGCCCAGCGTTTTTGCTCGCTGACGTCGATATCCTCATCAGTGGGAGACACCGTGTCCTCGGTGATCTTCTGCACCTCCTCGGGGAAGTAGCGGACACGGGACAGAGGCGTCACGGTGGGCGGCGGCGACACGATCGAGTCCAGTCGTCCACCGCCCTCCACAAGGATAAACTCATCCGGCGAGAGGTCCGTGGGGGCGGGCGGAGCGGCGGCACCGACACTGGACGCCACCGAATCACCTTTCCGTCCATTACTATCCCCGCTGTCCTCCTCTTCTTCGGGGATCGTCTCATGAACGCGTGTAGGAATTGCGGGAGCAAACTCCGGCTGCTCATCCAGCACATATTCACGTCCTTCGTCAGATGACGACTTCTCAGAGGAGGTCGGCGACTTGTCTGACGGGGGCGACACCTGCTGCGGCGAGGCCTCCGCCTCCTCTTGCGCTGCGGACTCGGGAGCCTCTGTGACCGAGATGGTCGGCGCCGCTGCCGGCTGCGGGCTGGGGCGACACTCGGGCGAAAACTCCGGCGTCACCGGCGTCTCGGACGGCATGCGTGTCGGGTAGTCCGCCATCGGCTCGGGACTGTCGGGACGCTCCAGGCTAGGCGCGATGCTCGGGTCGGAGGGCTGCGTCATGATCTGCTGGATCTCCCACTCAGCACGCTCCTCTGACAGACCCTTCTCCAGCAGCTGGGCGCGCAGACGCTCCCCGACGGCGCTGCTGGTCGCCGACTCTGACAGCGCTCTCCGCAGCACGCGCTCGGCCGGCGGAGCGACGGCCAGCGGCGGCGGCGACGGCTGCAGCGTCTCGGCCACTTCCTCCGTGTCTGTCTCGGAGAGCTGCGAGCCGGTGTCGTCCTGCTCCAGGATCCTGTCGCGCGGCAGCGGCAGCGGCGGCGGCCCGGACGGCTCATCCTGGCACAGCGTCTCCGACAGGCAGCTCTCGGACATGAGCGAGCACGTCATGGTGCTGAGCTGCTCTGAGGCGCTCGACAGGTCCATGCGCTCCGACTCTGTGCGCCACGTCTCCTTGATGGCCGCTCTCTGCGACTCAGTGGCCGACGGCTGCTCGGCGCCGGTCAGCCGGCTCGTCTCCGACGCGCTGTCGATCGATTCCTGCATGATCTTCGTGGGCTCGACCGGCTCGCTCACCGACTCCATGGCTGGCTCCGGTGATACAACTCGGTCATTGTCGCGTTCCTTTTCCCCGAACACATGACCCTGAATGACGTCAGCGCCCTGACCTGGCGGCCCGAACACCATCTCAGCTGAGCGTTTCATGTTCGGTTCCACAAATAGGTCGTCACCTTCGAATTGTTCCGCCTCCGCACGAGCCTCCTCCTGTTCCTCTGGAGTGGATTCGCCGCTCTCCTCCTGCGACTGATCTGCTCCTTCCGCCTTCGCATCATCACCATCGTCCTCATCATGCCCAGCCGCCTTGGGCTCTTCTTCCTCGGCCGGGTGGCCCGTGGGGGTCGACTCGCGGTCCAGCTCGACGGCAGAAGTCATCAGCGTCTCGGAGGGCTCACTGACCTCCACACTGGCCAGGTGACCGCTGCTCTCTGACGAGTCCAGCGACCGGCCTGGCCAGCTGAGAGACGTCTTGGCGGTGTAGTAGTCCTGCGACGAGCCGGTGGTCGCCGACAGCGCCGTCTCGTACTCAGAGGGCGTGCCCGTGTGCGTGCCGCCGAGCAGCTCCACCTCGGAGCTCGTCGGACGGGAGGTGGCGCGACTGCTGTCCGATAGCCCTTCGGCAGCCGTCTGGTACCTGCTGTCGCCAGAACTCGGCGAGTCAGCCGCCGACCGACGCAGCTCGCTGTCAGGCCGACTGGAGGCCGAGCGCTGCCGCATCACCACGCCAGACTCGAAACTCGTGGATCGCAGCGGCCACTGCTCCTCGTCGGAGCTTTTCTGACGACATGACGGAACGGCTGGAGTCTCGTCACCTCGCTCCGGCGATGGCACCGGCTCAGAAGCCAAGTCCTTGTCCTCCGGCATCTCCTGGGAGGGGCCGGTGTGGCTTAACTTTTCGGGTGACGAGGGCCTCTGATGAGATGGCGATTCTGAGGACTGTCGACGATCCACAACAGTGACTACCGACTCGCGACTGGAGACCAGGGAAGACTCGGCGCGGGAGTCAGACGAACGCGACAAGGTCCGCTCAGTCAGCCGACTGGCCGCCGTGAGGCCGGCGGCTGCATCGGCCGACGACAGCCAGCTTTCAGAGGTCTCCTCCAGCGACCTGCTCTCAGATGTTTCGGAAGATGACCTGGCTAATACTTCTGAAGACTCGGTAGAGGTCCGATTTAATGTTTCTGACCGACCCTCTAAGATCCCGGATACAACCTCCACCATTTCCTCGGAAGTGGTGCTCGTCTTTTCAGATCCTTCCACCAGAGACTTTGAGAACGCCTCGGACACCTCTGTGGCTACGCGACGGACCTTTTCAGACTTGTCCTCCGATGAACTATCACAAGATTCCTCCACAGACTTTGTGAGTGCTTCTGATGTCTCTTGCTGTGATTTCGCAAACGCTTCAGATACATCAGCTGATGTTCGATGGATTCTCTCAGATTTTTCATCTGTAGACCTGGCCGACGTTTCCTCGGTTGAGCGACTAATCTCTTCGGAAACTTCCTCTAGAGAGCGTCCGAACGTTTCAGAAACATCAGCAGAGGTTTTGAGATGCTTTTCCGACTTCCCATCTGACATCTTCAGTGACATGTCAAACAGTTCAGTAGATCGTGACACAGCCTCGGAGGTTTCGCATGAAGACCTAGTGGTAGTTTCGGATTGTTCGTCTAAAAGACGCGTTTCAGCCGAGCGAGACAGAAGTCCTGCTGTTCTGATGAGTTTTTCGGTGGCTTCGTCGGTGGCCTTCACAGCTGCTTCAAACGTCTCCTCTGTTGAACGAGTAATCGCCTCAGATGCTTCCCCCGAGGAACGAGTCAGATTCTCAGAGCGTTCTTCCGTCGACTTACTAAAACTCTCTTCCGAAGAGCGAGTGATAGAAGTGCGCAGCTTTTCGGCGGTCTCCGCTGTTCCCTTCTCGAAGGTGTCATCCGCCGACTTGCTGATCAATTCAGATGCTTCTTCGGAGGAACGGGACAACAGCTCTTGTTGTTCGTCAAATGACTTGGTAAAAGTTGATTCAGATTCTCTGGACGTTGACGTGGTTCGGTAAAACTCGGTGGCCAATTTCGATGATTGCTCATCAGCAAAAGAAACTGAACCAGCACCCTTTTCCGAAGCCTCAAAGACATCTGGCTCAAGCGATTCTTGTCTACTTTGTCTTTGCGTCTGAGTCTCCACCTCTGCTTGATGAGCCGCCTCCCCTGTGACACTCCCGTGTATGTCGTCGTCCTCCTCTGACCGAACTACTGTGGTGGTAAAAATAGTCCTTTCACCGGATACCCCTTCTTCGAAATCCCCGCTGCTGATGACTCTCTGCCTCCGTTCGGTGGTGGAGCCATCCGTCGACGTCTTCTCAGTGAGCTCGGTGACTTCGTGGCCGGATGACGGGAGGTCACTTTCACCACGCAACTCTTCCAATTCAGTCTGGTCTAGGGCGACCACCGACATTTGACGCAGCCTCTCCATGTGACTTTCCAACGGCGAGAGGTCATTACCACTCTCGCGAAGGTCCTCATCGGTGATCTCGAGGCTTTCTAGGTTGACATGGCGTCGCCGAGATAGATCTGCTGCCTTACGTTCTACCACTTGCTGCACCATGGTACAGTGTTCGTCATCATGACTGCCCTCCTCAGTCAGCTGACGTAGGTATTCGTCCACTTTGGAGTGTGTCTCTGATGTGAACACGGAGTCTGGGGCCGGTCGGGGAAGACTTTCCAGATCATCAGTGCCCTCAACGTTGTCGTCGTCGGGCTGCTTACATTCTGCGGCAGCCTCCGCCTCCAGCTGGCGCCGTTCATCGCCCATCAGCACAGGCGGCTGCTCGTCGGAGAGCCGAGACAGCTCCGACGAGTCTGTGGTCACCTTATCGGACGACATTGAGTCTTGCAGGCGTGCGTCGGAGTCCTGGCGCGCCGGCTCGACAGCGGTCATGGTGCCCGTCACCGACTCCTCGCCAGTGACCAGCTCAGGGTGCTCCGACAGCCGGCTCTTGATGTCCGACACGATTTCCACCGCCAATCGCTGGGCATCCTCAAATGACATTGACTGAGGCACGCCAGCAGCTCCACCATTCGCCTGTGTTCTTGTCTGTTCCTCAAAGCCCTCCGCTTCATCCGTGTGCTCTCGCACGCTCGAGTCCCCAACGCTGCTGGAAGACCCCTCTTCCTCTCGCTCCAAAACAGTTTGCCGTTCAATGGGAATGTCGTGAACCATCTCAGTGTCCTCCTGCTCGGCGTGATCCAGCGCCGCCTCCCAAACAGGCTGGGCGAACGTCTCTGTCGATACGTGGATGGGTGAGGGCAGAGTGGCAGCTGCCGCCGGTGTTTCGGGCGACAGCGCATCTAACGGTCTAACCCGCACCGTCATATCCAACGACTTTCGAGCCGCAGCCGGATCTACTTCGACACTGCCACGATGCGGGTCATGTTCTTCGAGCTCATGCATCAAATGACTCCTTTCTTCTTCCAGATGCTCTTTCGCTTCTCTGAGATGCTCCTTTTCTTCTTCTATGTGCATCTTTTCCTCCTCAATGTGCAGTTTCTCGTGTTCTATTTCATCCTTCATATGAGTCAGTGTTTCTCTCTGTCTTTCTATGTGCTCCTTTTCTTCATGAACGTGCTCCTCTTCGTGAAACAAGTATTCGCGCTCTTTCTGAAGCAATTCTTTCTGCTCCTCCATATACCCAATTTCTTCTTCCATCATTTCCATTCCCTCTTTGATCAGTTCCTTCTGTTCAGTCATCAACAGTTTTTCCTGGTCGACGTGCTGTTTATCCTCGTCCATTTGTTCTTTCACTTCTTTGAGATGTCTTTTCTCCTCTTCGACATGTCTCCTTTCTTCATAGATGTGTTCCATTTCCTCTTCAATATGTTCCTTCTCTTCTTCCAACCGTTTCTCAGTTTCTTCCAAAAGATTAATTTCCTCGCCAATTAGCTCCATTCCCTCTTTAAGCAGTTTCTTTTCCTCCTCAACCAGGATCCTTTGAGAGTTTGACTCATCGTCGTCTTTCAAGTGTGTCACCTCTTGAGTCATAGGCCCTGGTTCATAATGCTCTTCTTCATGCTCGAGATGTTCTGGTTCAGTCGATGGCTTATAAGCATATGACTCAAATGTTCCGGAGGAGGGTGCCGCCTCAGTATCTTCAGCAGCTTCTCGGCACTCAGGAGACAGCATCACGGCATGATCGTCACTTGCAGCTTCGGTGGCACCCTGCTCATCGCCATGGAAGCCTGAATCAGGCTGGAATCTGGAGTCGGACGCTTCACTCTGCAGTCGGTAGGACTGCGGTAGCGAGTGCGTTGGCTCAGACGGCGAGACGTACTCTAAGTCAGGAGCAGACGGAGCCAGAAGCTCCAGCTCCATCCGCTGCCCCGACTGTGTGACGTCCGGAACGTCGACATCCCGAGACTTGGGCGATTCGTCAGCGCTAGACGATGGCTCGTCAGTGTAATGCTCCTGTTGGGGACTTCTAAGAACTTGCTGATGAACTCCTCTCAGTTCATCATCATCCATCGGACTTGCGGCTGCCTCAGCTTCCAGAACATCATCCACGTCATCGATACGATCCAGATGTTCAGAGATGTACTTGTGTTCGGTTTCGGAAACACGGTGTTCACGATGCCCCTGCTCTTCGTCTGGCTCGCGTATGGACGGTTCTTGATAGTCCAGCACTTCCGACTCCGGGGCATGCTCCTCAGTAACATCAAGAATGTCGTTCTGAGTATCTGAAACGAACGATTTGGTTTCGATCTCATCCAGAATATTCGGCTGCGTTTCCGACCGCACCTCATCCTCCTGTATTTTCTGTCGCTCTTCGTCATCCTCAGCCAGCATCTTGCGTTCGGCCTCCTCCTCCTCAGCACACTCCGCTTCAGAGTATTCTTCCGTGCAAAACTCTTTAGCTTCATATGCCTCAGGGTCTTCTTCGTCAGCAGCTTGTGACTCAGACACTACGACGGCGGACGCAGCAAGTTCCTGCTGTCGAGCTAATTCCTCCTCTGGGGTAAGAAGCCGCTTTCTCTCCGGGCTCTGACTTTCCAGACTTTGACCCATCTCCTCCATTACAATGTCAGTGCGCATTCGCTTTTCAACGATAGCATGGGTAGCTTCTTCAACCTCCCTTGAGGAGCCCTTTTCTGTTTCTGCTGCCTCATATTTGGAAGATGTTCCCAGAGGCTCGATGACATCACTCATCGTCGTCACCGCATCAGTTTCGTGTTCGTATTTCTCGGCAATAGGTGGGACGGCCTCATCTATGCTAAGCGTCTGCTGGTCGTCATCTGTAGCCTGACTCGAGTCATCCCGACTTCTACGGGCGATGAACGGCCTTCGCGCTGCCTGCGTCTCACGCTGAATCTCCTGCTCGAACAAATGGCGCTTAGTGGCGACATCAGCGGCAGAGACGTCTTCAGCCTCATCTTCTCGCGGCACCTCATACGGGCTGGGCGCCCGCGGCAGACTGCTGTCGATCCGGTCCACTTCCTGTTCTCCCAGAAATGCCACGTTGACGAGTCCCCGGCCGCCACCGCCGTCAGCTCCGTCATCGCCGCCAGATGACGGCGGGTCCGATCGAGGCTCGGTGTCATCCTCGTCCTTGCTGTCCTGGCTGTCACGTCGTCGTGGTTTTTGTTCTTTGGAGCGAGGGGAGGGCCCCTCTTGCGAATCTGTGTCCTGCGAACGACGGCTGACGTCCTCCCAGAAACTGCGGCGATCTGAGTAACTCTCAAGAGTCTCTTGGATGCCACTGCTCTCTATCACCTGCTCTGCAACTCGCGTTGTCACAGTGGTGGTGGCTGTCGTGCGTTCGTCATAAGTCGATCGTATGTTTCGTATTGACGTGGATTCAGGAAAAGGTGTTTGTAGTGAAGGATCGAGAGGTTCCGCTCTCGGACTTGCATAATCTATAAAGTTAGTAGACAAATACGAGTTAGATACTGCTTACGGAAGCAACCTCCTCACTTCCTACATACTTTGCGCTAACTGCATTGCTACTGTTTCCACAAAGTAAATCACATACTCATATGAACGAGCTGAAAATGTTGTTAATACACCATCAAGAGGGACAAATGTGAAGGAAGAAGGACAAAGGACCCACTCATTCAAACGTTTACTCAATCACACAGACGATCACACAGTTGCTGCCAAAGACAGCATTACATAAATCCTGGAACAAGGCGGCGTTAGCGCGGAGGAAGAAGCACCCAGTCACCTGAAAAAAAAAAATGCGGAGCGACCTCAAAGGTCAAGTGTCATGATTGAGCATGCAATTGGTGGGTGCTTCACCGATGGAGCTTCATCGCCGAAGCAATGAAACTCCATCGTACGACTGAGCCGACAGACGAGACTGCCAAGCCATTCCGGTGACCGTCCAGATTGCCGGCTCTGCATGAGCAGGCCATCGTCTAGGCAGGCACGACAGTTAGTAGGAAGGCGCCGCGCCCCAGCCGCCTACACCAGGTGCGAGTGGGCGTGCCATAACGGAGAGAGCACACCAAGCCAATTCATAGCGCTGTCGCTGCATGAGCCAGCCCTCTAACGGGTTAGTGCCAGTCGGCGCGGACCATCGACACGGCCGCTGCGGCCGCCGAATAGAATTCCGCTACAAGGAGTCGCCAAGTACCTTCGGTTCGGGCCACGCCTGTCCGCGTGATTCTTCTCCCTTCTGGAAGCGGCTCGCCTGTCGCCACCTGGCGGACCACGGTGCGGCGCACCACACGACGAACACTGCCGTCCGGCAGCGTCTCCTCCTCGATTTGAGGCTCGGCTGCCGCCAGCTGGTCGATCTCCGGAGTGAGGAACTGGGTAGTAAGGACAGTGGAGCGTCGGACTACCCTTCGGACAGTGCCGTCGGGCAACACCTCCGTCTCCACCTGCTCAGGGGTGTCGGATGAGGATAGCAGCTCTCCGCCCGACTCAAGACGCCAGGCGTCGCCGCCAACGGCGGGCAAGTCCAGCAGTCCGCGCAGTGATTCCGGCACATCATCGCCGTACACCTCCCACACCAGGAATTGTCTAGCGTGACCTCCCGCGTCCGGCTCTTCGACCACTCGAGCACCAGTTGGCACCGGAGTCGTGCCATCGTACGGCTGACGGATGGTGCGCTTCAGACGGCCGTCGGGAAGAGTCTGTTCCTCCACCTCGAGACCCTGTGGCACACTGGTGACATCGGAAGTCATGACGGTCCGCACCGTTCGACGACGCACAACCTTCATGATCGAACCATCTGGCATCGTTTGCTCCTCTACGGTGCAGCCGTCCGGAAGGTTGTCGAGGTCGATGTCTGTCACGTTTCTGATAATTCGTCTTCGGATGATCCGCCGAATAGTTCCGTCAGGCAGGGTCTCCTCGTGCACCTCAGCATCGTCAGGCAATTCAGGGCCCTCAGGTAGTCCAGCCTGCACTGGATGCGTGGGCTCACCCCGCACTACCTGGGTTCCAAGATCAATGGTTGGCATCTTCACAATGCGGTGCTTAACAACGCGTCGAGTACCTCCCGGTGACGTTTGTTCAGCCTGCTCGGCCTGTTGGTCTCCCACCGCCCCCGTTGTTATCTGCTCGATGACCTCCGGTGACATTTCCATGGTTCGAACAATGCGGCGTCGAATGGTTTTTCTGACGGTGCCGTCCGGCAGGGTTTCCGTCACCACCTCGCCCTCATCCGGAGCAGCGCTGTCACTGGGAACTGTCTCCGTGGTAACAATGCGCCGGCGGATAATGCGGCGCACGGACCCATCGGGCAGCGTCTCTTCTGTTACCTCTGCTCCTTCCGGCACCGCCATTTCTGGGGCCTCAGATGTTGTTACGATGCGCCGATGGATAACTCGCCGCACTCTGCCCTCAGGCGTCTCCTCTTCCTCCACTTCAGCGTCCTCCGGCAATGGCGCGCCTTCGGGCAGTTCGATCAGTCGACGCGTAATGCGGCGTACAGTCCCGTCAGGAAGAGTCTCCTCAGAGAACTCTGCACCCTCCGGTACATTGGCCTCTGGAATGGTAGATGTGACCACCGTCCGCCGGATGATGCGGCGAACAGAGCCATCAGGAAGAGTCTCTTCCGTGACCTCGGCGTCGTCTGGTACCTCTTGGTCAAGGCTAGTCGTCACTACGCGTCGGATAATTCGCCGAATGACCGATCCGTCTGGCTGGACTTCCTCCCGAACTTCGGCACCCTCCGGCACGTCAAACTCGGGTTCCTCTGTGCTTGTGATAATTCGTCTCTTAACGATGCGGCGCAGCACCGACCCATCAGGCTGGACCTCTTCCGTTACTTCAGCGCCCTCAGGCACATCGAACTCGGGCTCCTCAGATGTTTCCACTACTCGTCGCCTGATGATGCGCCGGATGATGGAACCGTCGGGCTGCACTTCCTCAGAAACTTCTGCTCCCTCAGGAACTTCAAAATCGGGCTCTTCGGCCGTCGTTGTAACGATCCGTCTTCTGATAATGCGACGAATGATGGAACCATCGGGCTGCACTTCCTCAGAAACTTCTGCTCCCTCAGGAACTTCAAAATCGGGCTCTTCAGCAGTTGTAGTCACTACCCGTCTCCTGATAATGCGACGAATAATTGAACCGTCCGGCTGAACTTCCTCGGAAACCTCAGCCCCTTCCGGCACCTCAAATTCTGGTTCCTCGGTCGTAACTACTCGTCTCCGTATGATGCGGCGAACTATTGAACCATCTGGCTGCACTTCCTCTGACACTTCAGCTCCTTCTGGAACTTCAAAATCTGGCTCTTCAGAAGTCATGAACGTTCGGCGAATTGTTCTTCGAATGACTGATCCATCTGGCAATGTCTCCTCGCTAACTTCGTCTGGTGCTGGGACTGCAGCACTTTGTGCGGGCCGAACAATTCTCCTTCGGCTCACTCTGCGAACCAGGCTTCCATCTGGAAGGGTCTGCTCTTGGATTTCTGTGCCAGCATCCTCCGGGATGTCAAAATCAGGATCACCAGGCTTCAAAACTTGTTTCCACACCTTTTGGAGAGTCCCGTCAGGCTGCCTTTCCTCCTCGACCTGTCCCCCTTCAGGCAGGAAGCCCCAATCTTCGGTGGTGATAATCCTTCTAATGGTGCGTTGTACGGAACCGTCCGGAAGGGTTTCTTCATACACGGTATAATCGGGGAAACGCAGATGCATAGAAGGCATGTCTGCGGCTGAAGAAACAATAGTGCGTTTGTAGATGCGCAGAATGCTGCCATCCGGCTGTTCTTGGATTTCAACATCAGCACCCAACGGCACCGAATCCGGATCAGGGGCATCAAGCTCGTCATCTGATTCGCAGACAGTTCGTTCAACAACCTGGTGGAGGTGAATGTCACCAGCTAGAGGAATGTCACACTCCTCCTTGGGTGTTGAAGGTGGGGTACGAGGGTCAGTTTTCGCTGCACCTCGAGCTGGAACCGATGGCATCTTTTTAGGAATCTTGGACTTCTTCGAAGACTCCTTCTCCGCTTCAGTTGGTGTGACTGATTCTGGGACATCGTCAAGCGGAGCCAGCATTTTCTCGATTTGTGAGTCAGATATTACCTTCGAAAGATCTACATCCGGATCGGGAGGAGGAGAACCCTTCTTGGTAAAGCCTGGTCGGACCTTGATGGGCGGTTCCGCAGAGGGCGCGCCTGGAACTTTCTTCGGAATCTTGCTAGGCGATTCTTTCTCGCGAGCTTTTCTGTCAGCTGGCGCGGACGTCATTTCAGCCGGGAAGTCCGGCCGTGGTTTCTTTGATGGCGAATCCGGACCACGATCGGCTGCCGGATGCTTACCAGCGTGAATCTCTAGAGACACGTCTGGCTTTTCTGTGCTAACCATGGAATCACGAACCATTTCCAATCCATCAGGATGGACCATAGACAACATGAAGCTGGTCATAGCAGCGCCGGGCTTTGCAGTCGGCTCGTCGTCCTTTGACTTGCTTGATTTTCGCTTGGTCGATTCCGGCTTGGGTGATTTTCCTTCTCGTACAGGGATCTTGGATATCTTTGGAACCTTTTCTACTGAGACCTTCCGCTCACTAGATTTGCGTTTGATCAATTTTGGAATTCCAGACCATTTTACGCCTGGTTTCGGCTTCAGTACTTTCTTCTTTCTGCCATCATGCAAGACGATTTCCGTAATCTCTATTGTTTCGAATCGAGGGATGACATAGGTTTCTTCGACATCAAAGTATTGAATCCAGACCTTTCTTTTGCGACCGTCGGGTGTGGTGTCATCCTCAATTTTCGCGCCAGCTGGCAGCTCTCCAAGGTTCGAGTCAGTTACCTCAGTTGTGATGACAGCTTGTCGCTGGCCGCTAGGCATTTCGAGGATCTCGATCTCAGAGGTGTCTAGGAACTTTACTTTAGGGAGTTGGTCCTCGGGGATCATCTCAGCAAGGAGCCTGCCCGGTGCCTCAGGCTCCTCTTGTTTCTTGCTACTGAACCCAAACGAAAACGATGGCCATTCGAAACCAGCTTTTGGTTTCACAGTTTTGCGCACACGACCGTCAGGAAGTACCTCTTCTTTCAGTTCGATTTCTGGGGAATCCAGACTTATCTCTGTGTTCACTGGCTGACGCCAAACACGACGTTGACGACCATCAGGTAAAGACTCAACTTCGATCTGCGCGTCCACTGGAATGTTTTTCAACTCCTCATCAGGCACCTCAGTCTTTACGACAAACTGATGCCCATGAACTGGGTGCTCCTCTACTTCTATTTCTGCCTTCTCCTTGCTGAATGATGGTAAGAAGCGAGAAAACAGCCCAGAAAATGAAAAGCGTGCCTCATCATCACTGGCTGGACTAGGCGATCGTGAGGGCACCTTGGACGATCGGAATTCCCAGTCGGGCACCTGTAACATAGGAAGTTTTATCTTCGGCCATTTGGTTCCTTTCCGTGGACGGTAAGTGGTCTTGTGTGACCCATCGGCCTCGTCAGCCTCAGCAACGTCGGCGCTTGAACAGGTTGGTAGAGCCAGGTCTGAATCAGCCTTGAAATGCTGCTCGATGGTCTGCGCCACACGGCCCGATGGACGGGTGACTTCAGTTGGCGTGAGACCCGCTGGTAGCTTAGGCACGTCAGACTTTTGGATTTCTGTCCTCACGATGACATCACGAACCTTCATTCGTGGAAGATCCACGACGTCAACCTCTGTGGTGTCCCGTATGCGAAGCTTTCCTAATTTGTCTTCTGGAATCAAATATTCGAGGACTCCATCGATTCCGAGGAAGTTTGGTGGTCGTTTCATCGCTTTCTTTGGTGGTGCCGGTTGAGGTTTTGACTTCTTCTTGTCCGGAGCCTCTGTGAATTCTGGAGCCTTCTTTTTGAATTCCCAACCGGGAATATGGAATTTCGGCATATCAAGCTCTGGCCATTTGAAGCCGCCTTTAGGCTTGTAAGACGTTTTTATCCTGCCATCCGGCATCGTAACCTCCTCGACCTCAGCCCCTTCTATCTCCGGTAGTTGGAATTCCGGATCGACGTCAAAGTATTGACGCCAGACTTTGCGAGTCTTACCAGATGGAAGAGACTCGACTTCAATCTTGGCATCCTTTGGTAGTTTTGACAGTTCAGGCTCGGTTACTTCGGTAGTGATGACAAGGTGACGTTTTCCAGAT